GAGTTAGTAGTGGAGATGAGGAAAGCAAAATTAGGAGTCTTGGCTCTGACTGAAACCAAGAAAAAGGGGCAAGGAATCACAGATCACGATGGAAGTATGCTGCTCTACAGTGGTGTCCCTATGACGGAGAGAGCCAAGGGGGGTGTTGGCTGTATTTTGGCTGTATTGTGGCCAGGAATCAAGTTAGTAACATCAAGGGATGGAAATTCATCTCAGAGCGAATAATGGTGTTAGATCTGAAAGAAGAAGATAAAATTGTCAATTTTGTCATTGTGTACGGGCCAAATGAAGATGAGCGAGTAGATGTTAAAGAAGAATTCTTTGAACTGCTCCAAAGAACCATAGATGACTGTCACGATGAAATTATCCTCCTAGGAGATCTAAATGCCAGAGTAGGAAATAATCAATCTAGATGGAGTGGAGTGATCGGGAGATATAATGAAGATGTTTTGAATGATAATGGCAAGCGACTTCTCAGATTCTGCAGGGAACAGAACCTTGTCATTACAAACACAAAATTCCCCCACAAGCGTATACATGCATACACAAGATGTGAACCTTCAAAGAATGAAAAATCCATCATTGACTACGCCATAGTTAGGAAAAGTTCATTCAAGTTTGTGAGAGATGCCAGAGTCATGAGAGGACCAGAGATTGGAAGTGACCACTATCTGGTCACAATAAAGAGAACAACTGAAAGAACTGCTCCAACAAGGCAACACCGACAACCGTGCAAGAAACCAAGCAACCAAGAAGGGATGAGGATTAAAGCATACAAGCTAAGAGAGCCAGATATTAAGGCTAGATACCAGGAGCTAATAGTGAAAGCAATAGGAACTGAAGAAGAATCATCAGAGGACACTGAAACCCTCTGGTGCAGATTCAAGAATATCCTCACAGCAGCTGCAGTAGAAGCATGTGGTGAAGTCCAGAGTGGAAGGCGGGGACATAGGACATCTTGGTGGACGGAAGAAGTCAAATTGAAAATAGGAGAAAAGAAAAGGGCATGGAAGCAATACCTGGCAGCCAGGAACACAGCTGAAGAAATAGAAAAATATAAACAATATGTGGCACTCAGAACAGAGACCAAAAATATTGTGCTTAAAGCAAAACAGAAATCATGGGAAGAGATTGGAGAAAAGTTGAAAAAGAATGCAAGAGAAAACCAAAAACTGTTCTACAAGACCCTTAAGAACATGAGGAAGGAGAAAGAGTGCCCACTTAAATTCATAAAAGACAAGGAAGGGGCTCTGCTTACTTCTACAAATGATATCATGGGCAGATGGAAATAATACTTCTCAGAGCTCCTCAGCGTTGAGGGAAGTCATGACCCAGAAATAATGGACCTCACTGCTGAGAAGGAATTCAATCATGGGGAAGATAACCTCAGGATGGAAGAATTGAAGGCAGCTATTGAGAATATTAAGCTGGGAAAAGCAGCAGGTCATGATGGTATAACACCAGAGATGGTCAAATATATGGGAGTCGAAGGTGAGCGCCTTCTACTGAAGGTTCTCCAGGCAGCCTGGTGTAGCATAACTATACCAAAAGATTGGGAGATTGCCATCATTATACCTATATTTAAAAAAGGTGATAACAGACAATGTGAAAACCACAGAGGCATATCCCTCCTCAGCGTTCCCGGTAAAAGTTACTCTAGAATTCTTGAGCAGAGACTTAGAAGTCTGGTAGAGCCACAGCTGGACGAGGCCCAATGCGGCTTCAGAGCAAACCGAAGTACTCAAGACCTTATCTTCACACTGAGACAGATGAGTGAAAAAGCCCTGGAATATAAGAGTGAGATGCACTTATGTTTTTTGGATCTGGAAAAGGCATTTGACAAGGTACCCTGGAACAAGCTCTGGGACTGCTTGGCAGGGAAAAACATCCCAGCACCCCTGATCAGTGCAATACAGAGTTTCTACAAAAGGTGCAGAAATTATGTAAGAACAGCAGACCAAAAGTCAGAAGAATTCAAGACCGGCAGCGGTGTTAGACAAGGTGATATTCTCTCACCTTACCTCTTCATTCTTATGATGGATGATTGTCATCAAGACCTGTAAGGAGAAGACAAAGAAGTACTCTGTAGGGTACTGGAAGATGAGACCAATCTGTATATCAGAGCTGGCTTTTGCAGACGATGTGGCCCTGATAGCTAAATCAGAGGCACACCTTCAGTCCAACTTACTTGTCTGGAAGGAAGAGCTTGATAAGAAAGGGATGACTATCAGATCTCCAAAACTAAAACCATGGTGATCTCAAGAGAGGAGAAGAAACACCAGATCATGATGGGACAGTATGCATTGGAGCAGGTTAACCATTTCAAATACCTTGGAGTTGTAATAGACCAAAACGGATGCATTAAGACTGAGCTGGCTACACGAAAAGCAGCTGCTGGGAGACTCTTCCAGGCCATAAACCGAGGGTTTCTTAGCAAAAGAGAAATTGGCAAGAGGACGAAAATGGCTGTTTACCGCTCTACCTATGTACCAGTCCTGACCTATGGGTGTGAGTCATGGGCAATGACAACAGCTCACAGAAACCAGCTGCAGGCCTAGGAAATGAGATACCTGAGAAAGGTGGTCCAAGTGACAAGAAGGGACAAAGTCCGCAATCAGACAATACGTCAAGATCTTGATACCCAGCCCTTACTAACCCGAGTAGATCAGTCACAGTTACGATGGTTTGGACATGTATGCAGAATGGGAGAAAATCGGCCACCATGGCAAGCATGGGAGGCTAAGAACCAGGGAACCAGACCTCCGGGACGACCCAGGGTGCGCTGGGAAGACAACATCCGACAGTCCCTCACTGACAGAGGACTGGAATGGAACAAAGCCAGAAAGAAAACTGCTGATAGAGACGTCTGGCAATCTTTCTGGCAAACCTCTACACCCCAAGGTAGAAGAGGAGCGACTAAGTAAGTAAGTAAGTAAATGCTGTACAACAGTTAACTCTTTGAGTCCCAAGAAACGCATCATACGTTTATAGATTCCTACCTAGAGGCCCAATGAACGCATAATGCACCAATTTTACGTCTCTCTTGACTACCCCTTGGGCCTGGGATGCTAAACCCCCTGGGACTCAAAGAGTTAAAAGTTTACCTTGCCTACTAAGACATATGTGGCGTCCATGGCTAAGGCGTTGCAAGTCCGACTCGTAATCCAACGTACCGCGATCGAAACCGACTGCGGGCTGCATGGAATTTTATCGTGGTATGGGACGTCGCAGGTTGACCCAGCCTCAAATGGGTACCAGGATGGCTGTCCTGGGGAAGTAAAGACGGCCGGCATAATGCTGACCACATTACCCACCGTGTGCTGATTGGTCTGTAAAAATATGGTTGCTCTTCCCATATGCCCGATGCGCCTAAAGGCGTGAAAAGGGATCTTTACTTTACTTTACTTTACTTACTAAGACACATTGCTTGCTGCATGCACACACACACACCCAAAAGAGTTTAACCAGCTAAGCAAAGATTAAACACATATTTTATGGGACCTGTCACTAAGCTTACAGATGCTGTACTTTTTAGCCATTCTACACAATCCCCAAGCAGCAATAATAGTAGCATCCTTCTTCAGTCACATCTGACTATAGTAAAGGCCAAGACTTATTCTATAAATACAGTAACTAAAAGTTCTACCCTGCTTGTATTCACCCATAACTTAGACAGTCACTCAGGAATGACAGGTTGTATTCTATATGCATTGTTTACATGTATCAGTTTCATGCCAATATTTCAGTGTCTGCAGTGCTTCTCCTGTCTATTTCTGAATATTAATTGTCTAATGCAGTGGTCAGCAATTTTTTTCACTTGGCGCCCCTCTTGAGTGAATCGCAAGACCGCCACGCTCCGCTCAAGTATATAGCAAGACCTCCGGGCCCACCTTGAGAATATGCTACTTAGTTAGTCGAGGTTTCAAAATCATTGCAATTGGGTTTCCCCACACTTGCTCCATTCCTGTGCCAGTGCAAATCAAATGAAATATCCCTTACTGTTGCATATGAAAAACTGGTGAATAAACAACTAGTTTCGAAACAATCCAGAAATTTTTGCATGCAGTAAAGGCTTATTTCAGTTGCTCAAGACGGCAAAGCCAACAATCGCCATCAGAAATGCAGTTCGCCGTTGATTTAAGTAGTTGGGAATGATAAGCTGGTTACTATACACACACTTAGAATTCTTACATAAGGTTTTTCACCAGCTCACACATAAACTGTATATATGGTATATGGTAAGATTCCAAGGCCCACTTCAGAATATGGCAGGTATACCCAATCCCTCCAACCTCCATGAACAAAATAAAATGTCATTAAAAAGAGGAAAACTTGATTTCACAAGTGAAACAGAAAGTATAGATGGTTTGGTCAGAAAATGTTCTTAATCTATAGTTAAATGCTCATGTTATCGTATTAATTAGATTTCTAAGGGCAGATATACAAACTGCTCATGAAAACAAAAATGTTGTTGCTGTTTCGTTTAATAGATTGTTTTAAAACATATTTTATTTATAATTTAACTAAAGCAAAATTTTAATATAACTGATTACTACAAGGACAAATGTAGTCAATTTAAAAATTACTTTTCTGAAACTTTCCCACCCCACCCCAGGGGATACAATGTACCAAGCCAAAGGGTTTACAACTCATGGTTTCTTGATTTTTTTTTTAACCTATGCTCCACTGGCTTGACACGCTAGCTAAATTAGTTGAACCAGCTGCGCCCGACCCGGTAACAAACTCCTTGTGGTCTGAGTTCACACTTGGGGGTAGGCAGAAAAGCTACAAATTTCCCAGATTTACGGTATCTATCATAGAATCGGGGCCGAAGGGCTGCAATACAATGTACCAAGCCAAAGGGCTGCGATACAATGTACCAAGCCAAAGGGTTTACAACTCATGGTTTCTTGATTTTTTTTTTGTTAAACTGCTCCACTGGAGGACTAAGGAAATAAAATGAGGAGAACCGGTCTCTCATTCAACTATAATTAGCTCACCTTATCGAACCGGGGTACAGAGATGTCTGGAGACTTTTTCACAAAAGCAATATGAGAGTCACCTTCATACGCCAGGAACTCCCTCATATCTGGACCATTACAAATTGCTTCGATTTCTATCAGATCCTGATAATACAAGAATAATATAATAGTGGCTGAATATCTTACATAAACAAAATGTTTCTTATTCTTAGTCATTTCTCAACTATTATATCAGAAAATACAAGTTTTCAGTTGGATATAGGTTTAGATCATCAATCAATTTCAATCAGACTAAAAACAAATCAAGAATAAATTCATGAAGGAAAGTAACAAAGCAAATGTTGAATGTTTAAACTAAAGTTTTTATCAAGAAACCAAAATATGGAAAACAAACCTATGAGAACAAGCATAACTTTGTATTCTCTTATAACTATGTTTCTGTTGTTTGTTTACTGATAGACTGATGAAGCATTTCAGTCTTTGGATTGTCAAACTTCTTGGACACAATTTATATCAATTACTTCACTGCCAATATGTCGTCTTGCTGTCTCTGGTAGGTGACGAGTTAATGTTGCTCATGTGCGAGATGTAAACAAGCAACACAGTGGAACAACATATAATTGAATTGCATGAATTCATTGTGCGTGGTGGGTGGTAATTCTGAAGTCTACAGATATATGGTGTCTCAATACTTGACTAACTATCCTTATGTCAACCCAATTACTGCTGCATTTTTTCTCTTGCTACATTACCTTAAGATATCTTTCCAAAAATAATCTTCTTGTCTCCACTGTTTCTTTATCAATGGACTTGAATGGAATTGTGGGCCATCTCTTTGGACCTTTTATATCTGAAAAATAAGAGACATATATTTATTAAATGAAAACACAACTTAAACATCTTAATAAACATACTACCTAAAACATAACATAAAGTGAGAAATAATTTGAAAAATAAGATCATCAGTGGAATCGATCCAGAACACCAAAGACCGAGATCTGTGGAGATGCATGAATGCCTATGCAAGCTGGCAAGTCACTTGATGATGATGATGTAAATTACTGTAAAACAGTAACTGTCTTTTTTTTTTTTTTTGATAAATAAATAAGAAACTAATCATCATCACACCAAGTGACAGTACAGAGAACCAATAATAAACTCCCAAAACTTTGTGAGATCCATGATCCTGGTGGGATACCACAACTCTGTCCATGCTATTGCCGTCACGGCTGTAATGATAACTAAGAGCACACAGAGATACCACCCAAATAAATATAATACAATAATAACAGCAGGCATTGACAACATTCAATAATATACTTTACAAACTAAGAACACAGTAAATGGTTTCAACTATCTGACAAGGGGCACTTACTCTTCAAGTACTTTTTGTAGCCTGGATGTGACTCGAGTCTGGATTGAAGACTTAAGAATTCTCTATATCTCCGTCTGACATTTCCTGACCTGATAACTGATTTTCCTTCTTCTGTGAAGTACAAAGCTTCATACTGTAAAACAAAACAAAAAATGTTGCAAGTCAACATCTAATAGTCTCACTGTTAATCATAGTAATCAGTAAGAGTAATGCCTAAATAATTACTGCAGCACAGGTATAAAATGCTTTAGTTACTATGAGATGTAGTGACTATTTCCCTTTCTCCCAAGTCTGTTCATGTAAATAAACCTTAATGATTTAATTCACCAAAGTGGTAGTCACCTGGTTATGATCAAGTCACAGCCACTGTAACATTCTTGAAATAATAACATCTTTTTTTTTCTATACCAATATATAATAAAGACATAATATACAGATCACAATAAAGTTTGATTTTGCGATTACCTAGAATGTAGAAGCACCAAGCATGATTATAATAACTAAAAATAGCACTGCAAGAAAAAAAAAGGGGGGGAGGGAGCAGAAAATATGTGTTTAGCCATCATGGTATCATAATCTCCATAGTAATGGCAACATGGTTTGAGTTGTCATATAAAGGTCTTTTTAGGCCTAAGGGAATGTATTCAATGTAATTCTCCAATCCTGTTCTCAGCTTTAGAATAATAACTTGCTCTGTTCTGTCCATAATATAGTAATTGTCTTGTGCCAGTTTGGTAGCTCTCTAACTGATGAGCTTATTCTCTTCTTCTGTTACTACGAGACTGGTACACCAGGCTGTTCTTCATTTGCACCTTCTGTAGCTAGTTCATCAGCCCTCTCATTTCCAGGAACTCGCCAGTGGGATGGCCAACTATGACATCACAATGACTTAAATGTAGCCATATTCCTGAATAAATCCACCCCACCCCCCCCCCCCCCCCCCCCCCCCTGACATTTTTCCCAATGCTGTTTTTAGTAAATATTTTTATATACAGGCTTTCTAAGCACCCTGCAGGTGCAGACAGAATCAATGCCATTGATTAAGCTTAAATATGCTCATCTGGGTTTTCCAGAGGTGTAAAGCCTATATACGGGTTTTGAGGTGATGTGTAGTGGACAGCACAGTGCAAATATCAGTGACAGGGTGTAAGGGTTAAGCACCTTTTGAAATAATTGGTCTCTGCTGATATGTAAGTATGAAGTATAATTAATTAATGACATACAATCATTATTTGTCACACTTAGACCCTCAGATCCTTGCAGGTAAAATCAATGCACCAAGTAATCTTTGAATTTATTCAACTGATCTTGCTCTGTGGACACCTGGGCCCTATCATTGTTGTCTCAGACTCCATGTGTGGGTTTATTTAAGTCATTTTTACAGGAAAGCTTTTTCTAAAGAGGGGAGCAGTTAGACACTGTTTATTTATTAGTAATGGATGATTCCCACAGGTGTTCCAATGTCATTTACACAGATCACACAAGGAGCATTTCAGGACTGTGCACAAACATAATAGCATCTGCAAGAATCCAAATGTCTGTATACCCTATATACATGAGTATTCTTATGTGGATAGTTTTCTCATTTTTCAAATTTAGTCTGCGCCTGTTCAGTCTGATCTTTCCAAATTCCAGTGTAACATGCAGGCAGATCCTCTAATTTTGTGGTTCTTGTCCAGGAAGATAAAAAGTACAAACATTTTTTTTAACACTTTTATACTTTTAAAAGACTTGAAAGTATATATTGTTATGTATTCACTTTAAAATATTTATGATGATTGAAGCATACATTTTCTCCTTCTCCAAGGTCTAAAACATTTAAAAATTGTCACTTTAAGGTACAAAACAATCACTATAATGGAATGACTAGAAGCAGTCTATGTTATATTTTAAAAAACAAAAAAACACACAGACACACACAAAAACAGACACATGGTTAGCACCATTTATATTTACCTCAATGCTGTATAGTGAGTACTGTGTTGAACTTCGAAACTCATTATTGACTGATGTTTCTGGAATGGTGACATCTTGAAAAATTCTCCTATCATCTGTGACAATTGGTCTCAGATCAGAGCTGTCTTTAATAACTGCAAAAGTACCAATTCCAAAATCAGCCGGTCCTGTCGGTGACGGAGTTGGAGCAGGAGATGATTTCTCACTTTCACACAACTTGCTCATGTCATTCTGAGACAATGACATTGTGAAAAATGAATTCACACTAGAGAAAAAACCTGGACTAGGGGTCATTACCATATCACAGAGTGTCAAAGTTGACTGGTCCTCAGCCCTTGTAGCCACAGAGGAAACTTGAGAATCTTCAAGTTTAACACTCTGGTTGTCCAGAGGTATTCCATCTACAAGCAACTGAGGAGGATGCTGAGAATGATGTCCATTACTTTTCGTTTTCTCCAATCTTTTATGAGTTAAAGGATTTAAGTTTATAGCCAGTTTTTCAGAAATAAGTGACAAGCTTCTGGGTTTTTTAACAAACTGTTGCTGCTTCCCGACAAAGAAATTTTTTAGCGATGATAGTTTTGGGAATGAACTAGTAATGGTTTCAGAACTTGTATCAGATTCTGGATGTAATGAACTTCCTTCCGTAGAATGTCCCATAGAACTACAAAATTCTGAGTCTGATGATGATGGTGAAGAGCTGTGTCGATAAGACATTATTTTTTGTGGATCACTTTCCAAGCTGAAGTGATTACCGAAAAATATATTAGCATCTGGTTCATCCTCAACAAAACATTCATCCCTTTCTTCTGGAGAGTTATAATTTGTGAATGCAACACAATTTGTATCTAACTGTGCGTCCTCTGTGTTATGGACAATAGAAGCCAGACTATCAGTGCTGCTGGAAGCAAATAATGGATTATAGGTAACTGATTCTTGGTCTGCCATATCTGAGGTAGGATCCTGCTGCATATAAGTCTGTGAATATTTGAAATCTACAGTTTCTGAATTAAGTGATGTTAAGACTGATGGAGTATTATGCTCAAAATGATGCTCTGAAACAAGGCACACATCAGTGTCATAAACGTTGTGCCATTCATCTGCAGTAACTGTCACATGTGTGTCCTTAGGTCCTGACTGTAAACTGGGTTTATGAAGGTCACTGACACTTAAATGTTTATGGGGTTGAGAAACAGCAGCTCTATCACGATCTTGCTGACCTAAAGAAAGTTGCTTAATATCACTGTGCACAGGAACAGTTTTTTCATTTTCATTAACACAGCCCTTACTGCCTTCAACACTGGAAACAGCTACCCCTTTGTCTAAAATCTTTTCATCTGAGGTCAAAATAATTATAACTTCCATTAACCAGTCTGGGTTAGACATTATCTTCATGACTGGGAGCATGACTTTATTTGTAAGAATCTGAACCAGCAATGTTTTCACACACGGTCCTTCAATGACATGAGGGCTGCATGCTGAGAGTACAATAACTGAAACTACGCCTTTCAAATAGCTGAGTTCTGCAGCTTCTGACTCCAGTGCCGGGTGCAGTACTGTGGCAGTCTCAAAAGCATCATCTACAGATGAGTGCCTTTTAAATCGAGGATCGATTAGTACTTTTGTTGTTGGGTGAATCTTATGACTTTCAAATGTGTTGCATGCTTTCTGATACAAACTGAAATGGAATTGATATAGCTGAATTACTTTAGCCAGAAGGATTTGCGGATCCTGCTGTGCTACATGTATAACCAGACTGTTAAATGCTTGCTGTAGATAATACTTTGTCTCTTTAAGAAACTGAGGGTCGTAGGAAAAATCTGCATACCATGAACGAACAAAATCACGAATAATTAACAATTGAATAGAATTCAACTCCATCTTT